AATGCAAATAAATGTGCTATAAATTTTAAATGCCAAGTTCCAAACTGAGGCTTAGAAAATCTGAACTAACAGTGTTGTCACAAAACAATAAAGAGAAATGCAAATTCTCATGGATGTCAGACTTTTTGGAGCCATGGCACATTGATGAGCCCCCAAAATATGTCCTGAGCTCATCTTTAACCTTTGAACAAAAATAACCCCTTGAAGTCTTCATAAAGTCAAACAATAGTTTAGCGTAACTAGTAAAAATGTTCTGTCTTGAGTATTATCTTATTTAAGAACTATCTCTATAGGATTAAAATAATAACAGTAACTCAATAGATTCACTATCTTAGGGACTGTGAATTTATGTTAATGAGGAAGGAATAACTAAGAAAATAAGTGTCAGGATGGTTGTACAACTCAAAGAATAAAATCCATTATGCTCTGCTGGAGAAAGAGGGGCAATCTCCTCCTGTACCAATCAGATCCGATTTGACGGTACTCACAAAAAAAATAATTAAAAAAAAATCCATTAATATTGTATGCAGAAACTATTTAATAGGTAAATGTTTTTTTGTTTTCTTAAGAATTTTATTATTATTTGTATGCGTGTGTACCGTCAAATCGGATCTGACTGGTACAGGAGATTATCCCTTATTCTCCAGCAGAGCATCTGGTGGATTCGAACCACACACCTCTGTTGCAGTGCAGCTTTTTGCCACTAGGCCACCAGAACTCGCCAAAAAGTTTTGTTGTACATACTGAAAAATTTACTGTCTCCTTAAAAAACTGTTTTGAAGGACAAGACTATGACCGTGCTCACTGAGATACATGTGAGCTGATAAATGTAATTAAAAGATTACAATCCTAATAGAACAACTTATAGATATATTTTTATTTAAGAAATATTAAATTAGATAACAACTTCTAATATGCAGTGATTAAGTGGGTTTTGATATTCATTCACAGGCAATAGGTTATTGTAGGAAAACTGATTTGAAGCCAGACAACACAGGCTTGAGTTTAGCTAGGCAACTCTGGAGTAGTCACAAAGTCTCTTTATGCCTCAATTATTTGTGAAAACAAAACAAAATTAAAATAATAATACAAGTCCTTCTTATCCCACAGGTTTTATGACTAAATATATACTAAATAAGATAAATGTCAAAGTACACTATGGAAATATGAATTATTGGTGTGCATAACAACAAGAAAAGAACAAGGAAAAACTAGCTTCTAATACTGTTATTTCTTCCTCAAGTAGAGGAAGGATATTTTCTCTTTCAGACTTCTTTCTCCTAAACCAAGGAATTGTTATATGTTAAACAAAGAAAACAAAAATTTTCTTTCCTAGTGATGAATAAATATTAAATGTTGTTATGTGCCGTAAGTCACCTGTAATTCATAGGAAACCTATGTACAACAGCGCTAAACCCTGCTCTATCCTGTGCCAATCTTATTGTCTCTGACACACCTACCCCCCATTACCCTAGTCACTGACTCAATCCATCTCATCTCTGGTCTTCCTCTCTTGCGCTGTCCCTCCACCCTCCCAAGCATGACATCCCTCTCCAAGGACTGATCTTGCTTTGCAACAGGTCCAAAGTATGTCAGACAAAGCTTCAGAATCCTTGCCTCCAAGGAGCAGCCTGGTTTCACCCTATCTAGGATAAACTTGTTTGTTCTCCTAGAAGTCCATGGTATATTCAAAATATGAAATAGGCAACAATTTAAATCAGAATTTGAAGTTTCTAATAACATATTATCAATCTGTTGAAATAGTGAAGTGGACAAAACAACTTTTAATTGGTTTATAAAAATAGTTATTAAATAGTCAAAACAGAGACATCTGGCTTTCTTGTTATTTAACATAGCTATATCTGTATGCAGAACAAATCATTTGGGAAGCAGGGCTTTATGAGGAGGAGTATGGCATCAAGATTGGAGGAAGACTCCTTAACAATCTACGATATGCAGATAACACAACCTTGCTTGCTGAAACTGAAGAAGACCTGAAGCACTTGCTACAAAAGGTAAAGGACTGTAGTCAGCAATATGGATTCAAGCTCAACATGAAGAAGACAAAGATTCTCACCACTGGGCCAACTGGCAGCACCATATTAGATGGAGAAGAGATTGATGAAGAAGAGCAATTACAGCTTGCTCAGATCCAAAATCAACACTTAACACCAGCAGTCAGGAAATCAAAAGACAAACTGCATTGGGAAAATCTGCTCTTATGGACCTCTCTCCAGAGTGCCCAAGAGCAACGATGTCAGTCTAGATACAAAGGTGCACCTAATAATCCAGGCCATGGTCCTCTCAATAACTTGTGATGTGTCAGAGAGTTGAACAATGACTTAGGATGACAGAAGAAGAACAGATGCTTTCGAGTTGTGGCACTGAAGAGTCTTGAACATACCACGGACTACCAAGAAAACAAATAGGTCTGTCTTGGAGAGGGTGAAAATAAATCTCTCCTTGGAGGTTAGGATTTTGAAGGTCTGCCTCACTTATTTTGGGCATGTGGCCAGGAGAAATAAGTCCTTGAAGAAGGACATCATGCTTGGAGGGGTGGACGGACAGCACAGGAGAAGAAGACCCTGGAAGAGATGGGTTGATACAGTAAGTCGGACAATGGTGGTTAGTTTGTCAGAATCAGAGACTGGCCCAGGAAAGGGAAGGGTTTAGAGCCGCTGTACACAGGATCGCTATGTACACTGTAGGCAACTCAATGGCACATAACAACAATAATATAGTATAACAGGTTTGGAAGCAGGAGTGGCATCCACTTCCTAAATAACATGCCTCCAGAAATTCTATGAACTTTGACAAATGTTGATAGTTGTAAAGGGGCTTCAGGCCTTTAGTTCATAGGGTTGCTATGAGTTGTGCTTGACTTGAAGGCATCAACAACAACATATAAAAATATTTATTTATGCAGAAAAATATCCAGAGTATATAAAAGTTAGGTATTTGTCCTTTGTAAAAAAATAATAGCTGTTTATCACAGAACAAACAGCACATATATATTTCCTTCCAAAATCCATGATTGGAAATTGCTTAAAGTCACCCAAAGATTTTTACAAGTATGTGCTATAATTAACGTCAGTAATAACGAAAACTGTTTATATTATTAAAAACTAATATTGTGTTTCTACTACCACTTATTCATGGTGGCTTAAAACA